TCCCCCCAGACCGCCTGTGCCCCCATGGACCCAGACATCCAGGCATCTCATGCCCCCCATAGAACCCCACCCACCCCACACGGACCCAGGCATCGGGGTGCCCCCAGCCCCCCCCGCAGGCCCCCCCTTACATGACGCAGTCGTGGTAGCTCTCGCGGGCGGCGATGTGGAGGGGGGTGTCCCCGTGGAAGTTGACGGCGTGCAGGTCGCACTGGGCGTTCAGCAGCACCTCGGCGATCTCCGCACTGCCCGTGAAGGAGGCCCAGTGCAGGCAGATGTTCTCCTCCTGCCCGTGGCAGGGGGCACCGTCCGTCAGGAACCTGCCCCCCCACACACACCCAGGGGGCAAAAACCACCATCCCCCAGAGGCGAAACCCACCTCCCGCCTCTGGGTCCTCAAAACTGCCCCAGGAGGAGGGAATTAGCCTGGGGGGGGCCCCTGGAAACCACCCTTGGTAGAGATGGGGGGAGCTTAAAACTGCCCCAAAGGGGATGAGGGGGGGTCTTGAAACCATCCTACAAGAGACCAGGGAGGCCGCGAAACCACCCCCAGTAGGGATGGGGACTCCAAAACCACCATTAGAAAGGACTTTGAAAGCGGTGGGGCTTTGAAATCACCCTGTGGGGCCTCAAAACCACCCTCTGTGGTGACCAGGGGGTCTTGAAACAGCCCCAGAGGAGCCTCAAAAGCATGGGGGGGGACAACTCACGTTGTCGGTGAGAGTGACATCAGCGCCACGCGTCAGCAGCCGGCGAATGACCTCGATGTGCTTGTGCTCAGCCGCCCAGATGATGGGGGTCCAACCCCCATTGTCCTGGGAAGGGCAAGGCAAGGGGGGGGTCAGTGTCACCCGGATGCCGAGGTCCCCCCATAGCCTCCCCAGACACCAGGGTCCCACCTGGGCGTTGACGTCCACCTGCCCGGTGGAGAGCAGCAGGTCGACCATCTCCAGGTTGCCGTTCTTGGCGGCATGGTGGAGGCAGGTGGAGCCGTCCTCCTCCTGGGGTGTGGGGGCGATGATATCAGCAAAGGGCGGCAACGACATCAGCGGGGAGGGGGTGTGATGTCATGACCCACCTTGCTGTAGACGCAGCCGCCCCGCCGCACCATGTACCGCGCCGCCTCCACGTGGTTGTTGGCCACCGCCTCCATCAGCGGCGTCCGGCGCAGCTTGTCCGTCGCGTTGATGTTGGCGCCCGCCTTGGGGGG